CCACCCGCCATGATTCTACACGTGTGCGCGTGCGTGTGTGTTTAGGAGGACGAGGTGACGTCGTCGATGGCCAAGGCGCGCCGTGCCGAGCGGGAGGCACAGGATATGCAGGAGTCGCTCGCTGTTCTGCAGGAGGAGAACACGAAGCTCCGCTCCATGCTGCGCAGGGCCCGCCTCCGCAGGGAGGAGCTCGTCGGCGACACGGAGGTGCGTGCATACGTGTATGTGTGTGTGTGTGCTGAATTTGTGTATGTTGAGCGTGCTTGTGCGTGTGTATTTTGTACGCGAGACGAGATGTGAGACACGCCAATACTTCACACATTGCGTGGTGTGTTTCTTGCAATGTCTGGCAACGCCATTGCCTTCTTCCAACTCTTCACTGCCTCATCCATCTTCCCCACACCCACGCACCCGTGCGCGTGTTCTCCTATCCACCAAGCAGCAGGTGCTGGACACGACGCTGTCCGAGTCTGTTGTTGATGACGAGTGAACGCGTTCATTGTTCCCCAGCAGCAGACTTGGCTGCTGCTGCGCTGATTTCCTTACAGTTCAGGGCGTTGTCTGTTTGGTTGGTTGCTTGGTTGTCTGTTTGTTGATTCGTTTGTTCGACGTGTTGGTGTGATGTGGCGCTGTTTTCTCACGCGTGACGCCAGTGCTGCTTGCTTCACGTTTCATATCCGCGCATAATCCGTGTCTGCATATGTCCCCTTTTCCCTTCCCAATCGTGCACGTGAACTCTTGCCTGTACTATCGTCTGCTGTCTGCTGTCTGCTATTGCCTACTTGACGTGGTTGTTGTCCTCGAGTGTTGTTACTCTTCACCCCTTTGCTCTTGCGTGTTTCATTTCATGTTGTGCTTTGCCGTTTCCATCTGTTGCTCGTTTCGTCGTTGCGTTCTTTTTTTCCCCTCCCCACACCCACACACCCAAGCTGTTGATACAACGCACATGTTGTTTGTGCTTGTTCAGCAACAAGACAGAAAGTCGTTTGACACCTCCCATCTCCTTGCAATACACAGAGAATCGAATGTCTTGTGCTGCCATCACGAGTGATGCCTGAGTGATGCCTGTGTTGTCACATCACATCATGTCACTGTCGCTGTGACGTGATTGTTTATAGAGTGGTTCAATAGACAAAAAATGGAGGAGTCAAGGGACACATAAGCACGTGCCTGTGTACAAGCTGGGGCCTCCATGTGTATGGACAGACGATCTTAAATGCCAAGCACAGAAAATGGCGGTGGTGGAGAGGGTGTGACGGAGAGTGCAAATCACTGCTGTGTGTACCAATGCCAAGACAGCGCTCATCCTCACACGCCCCCGCCCCCACCCGTCATCATCACGCACGTGCGTGGTGCGTGTGGGGTGTGCGTGTGGAGCGGTTCCCCTGCTCAGGACTGCGGGGCGAGGAAGCGCCAGAGGACGGTGAAGACCATGCTGTTGATGCCATCCACGCACAGGCGCGTGCTGATGCCGCGCTTGAACAAGTGCAGAATGCCGTGCTGCCCGACAATCTGGCGAAACGCCTGCGTGTATGTGACAGACTCTGTGTGCGACTGCTTGTATGCCTTGAGGACGGAGAGCGGGTTGGCGAGGATGTTGGTGACGACGGCACAGGAGAGGCCGATGAAGGAGTTTTGCAGCACCTGCTGCCAGAAGGCCGGGTCTGGGATGTCCTGATCGGGGAGTGCACGCGCCTGCCGTGCCGCTGCGGATGCCCCGAGCAGGTCGGTGAGGTAGTTGTAGGTGGTGAACCACAGGGTGTGCTTGACGGCAACGCCGACAATGGCGTAGGAAGCGCCGTAGTACAGGACGCTGATGCCGTGGTTCTTCACCTTTCGGCGGAGCAAGGAGAGGCCCTCCGCGCCCTCCACTTGCAGGATGGTTTTGGCCGTGTCGAGCGGGTAATACAGGACGCGGAACGATGCGACGAGGAGGCTGGACAGCGCCGTCTTCATGACGAGTGGCATGTTCTGCGCGGTGTCGCTGCGGCTGAGCATGTGCAGGGTGGCGTAGTTGGCGGCTGCGCCGACGCCGCGGGACAAGGGCGCCTCCACAATGGCAAAGGAGAAGCCGCGGTAGAAGCGGCGCACGCCGCCTTCCTTGTACAGCTTCTGGATGGTCTCCACCATGCCGCCGCCGTGGCGGAACTGCCTGTTCATCACCGTCCGCAGCCAAATCAACAGGACGACGTCTGTGGCCATGGCTTTTGCGCCCGCCATGCCTTCCAAGAAGGCGGAGTGCAAGCCCTTGGCAAACTCGTCGCTGCTCACATCGTTGCCCGTCGCTGCCGCCGCCAACTGCGCAACAGACGGAAGCGGCTTCATGTGGCGTGGTAGATGTGGTGGTGGTGCTGCTGCTGCTGGTGGTTGTAAGTTAAGTTTGAAGCTTGTTGATGATATCGGCTCGCTGACTTGCCTGCTTGCTTCACTGATTATTGCTGGCTCGCTTGCTCAGTCAAGTCAGCTTGCTTGTCGTGGTCGATGGTGGTGGTGATGATGGTGATGCAAGCAAGGTGGCTGATGTGCGTCTTCTTGGTTTGCCTTGAACTTGATTCGTGAGGAATGGCGAATGATTTCCATCAACATTCGCCAGTTTTAACGGCGAAGCGCGCGAAGACTTTGACTTTGGTTGGTTGGTGTTGGTGGTGTGTTGTTATTGAGTCACAGCGCGTCGCAAGCCACAGCCAGTCACAAAAGATGAGCGGCTCGGAGAGGAGCGTGGGCAGTGCGACTGAGCGCGCCATGGCGCTCATGGCCAAGTTTGAGGCATTGAAGAACAAGTACATGCACAGGTCACCGCCCAGAACAGCGGCAACAGCAACAACAGCCTCAACAAGATCGACAACGGCAACAACAGCAACAACGGCGGCTGCTGCTGCGACAACCTCAGGGCGTGGTCCGTGGTCGAGTGCACGAGGAGCGACAGCACCACAGCAGGCGTTGTCGCAACAAGCAACTAGCAGCGCGAGGGGAACAAGAACAACTGGCTTTGGAGAACGAAGGACAGTGGCGCAAGAGCTGTTTCCACCATCGTGGTCTTCCTCAGTGCGCAGGCATGACGATGCGCAGCAGTCACGGCCGCCAATAACGTCCACCTTGCGAGCCTCACAAGCGCAGTTTCCCTGGGAAGCAGCAGCAACAGCGTCCACCGTCAGCGATTCCAGCCCGAGGAGGGGCGCCACCACCGAAGAAGAAGACCAAGAAGACCAAGAAGAGGAGGAGGACGAAGGCGATGGTGGCACAGAAACCGAGGAACAAGAAGGACAGGAAATGCGAGACACCGCACAAAGGCACACAGACTTGCAGCAGCATCACTCGTGGCGAGCGCGAGATGAGTTCAGTCGACCTGAGGAGGACGCAGAAACACGGGAATCGAACGAAACATCGGATTCAGACGAGTACATGACAGCAGACGACGACAGTGCGGACTCGGTTGCCACGTACTCCATTGAAACAGATGCGCACAGCTTCCACGAGCGGTTCGGCGACACGATGCAGACGCCTCCGCCACGAAGTGTGGACACGAGCCCGCAGCGCCCGCGCCTCACGGCCTCAACGCGAAAGAGTCCAACACGCGTGCCACGGCGTCCACGCGATAACGAAGAGCACGCGATCAGTGACCAGCAAGGGGACTGGCCTGAAAGCGTGAACGTGACGGTGTGGGAGAGAGAGTGCGAGCGCAAGCCAGCGTCAACATCACCCTCACGACCACGGGTCGAGAGACAGCTGTGGTCTCAGCAGAACAGCAGCACTGCCGACGACACTGGGCTCGGCTCCACGCTACCAACGATGCGGAAGGGCGAGCCATACTTGTTGGCACGCGCACACCATGCATCGCATGCACCACGACGGAAACCGACGCAACAACAGCGAGAGCGCGCAGCTACCGTCATCCAAGCAGCATGGTGTGTGTGTCGATGTGTGTGGGAGGGGGGTGTAATGTGTGTGTGTGTGTGTTTCAGAGTCGGGGGGGTGTGTGTGTGTGTGTGTGTGTGTGTTTGCGTGGGTTCTTGTACGTGCCTTGCTGCCGACAACACCACAATCACGATTTCAACTTCCCACCACCACCAGGCGTGGATTTGTGATTCGGGCGACAGATCCGGATGTGGCCGCCGTCCGCCGCGAAATTCGAACGCGCCGCATGGAGGACCACATTGTCTCCCTCCACAGGCAGCTTGACACGTGTGTGTGTGTGTGTGTGTGTGTACATTGCCCTTGTGCGTGCGTGTGTGTGTGTGTGCGTACATCGCCATGGTCTTTTCATGTATTTGATTTGCTTCATTGTTGCTGCTACCCATCGTCGTGCCCTTTCATTCATCTCTGCAGATTGCGTGCGGAGCTCGTGCGTGAACAGGAGTTGCGTGCCATGCAACAGGAGGCAATGCGGGCAATATGGGACAAGGTGCGTGCACAGTTGTTGCTTCATGCACATGTGTTCCTCGTGCTGTGTTCTGCTCGTCTCACACTCATCATTACCATTGTCGCACGACTCATACCTTCCATCGTGCCTCATGGCAACAGGCGCGTGTGCTGGCTGGGAGCGTGAATCACATGCAGCAGCGCGAGCAAACACGGGCGGCGATTGTGCTGCAGAAACACATCCGCGCCTGGCTGGCGAGAAAGGTTGGAAGCGATTGGGGGGCTGTGCGTCTGTGTTTGTCTGTGTCTGTCCGTGTGCACGTGCTTGGTGCTGTTGTGAAATTGAGGTGTGCACATTCACACAGTGTTTGTGCTCATCGTGACATGTGCGTGCGTGCGTGTGTGTGTGTGTGTGTGTGTGTGTGTGTGTGTGTGTGTGTGTGTGTGTGTGTGTGTGTGTGTGGTTGCAGCGTTATTCGCGCGAACTCCACGACCGGCTGAGGAACAACATGACGATGATGGCGCGAAGCAGAGTACGTGACATGACGTGACATGCGCGCGTGATTGTTCTGGCGCATATGAACAGCGCATGCTCCTTCCTCACAGCCCTCACCAGCCGTCAGCGCAAACGCACACACTCACTCACACACACACACACTCACTAACTCACTCACTCGCTCACACACACACACACACACTCTCTCTCTCACACTCATGCACATGCACACACACACATATTCACACACACAATCACCATCATGGTGCCCTTGGCCCCATTCACACCGTTGCAGGCTGCGATTGTTGGCGGGGACGACCATGCGCTGCGGGAGGCGGTGCTGCAGCTGCAGGACCAGATGTACGCGCTCAAAACCTCGCTCGACCGCGCCATGATGCGCACTGCATGGGGGCACGCCAGGAACAGGCAGCATCACGGACAACAGCAGCAGCAGCAACAGCAGCAGCAGTTGAGAGGGCTGTTGAATGAGACGATGTAGTAACGTGGGACGATGTTGTGGCGCGGGCGCGTGTGTGCTGGTGTGCAGTGGACTGTGCATAGATTGGTACCAGTGAAAAACCACAACGCATCGAGAGCGTATTTTTTTCTTCTTTGCGTGTGTGGTGGCTGTGGTGGTGTGATAGTTGGTTGCAATTATGCTGCAATGTGGTGTGAATGGCTTTTGAAGTGGCGCTTTTGACCCACTTGCAACCTTCTTCGTGTTTCCGTTACAACACATTTACATCATGCGTGATGACGTGAGCAACTCCAGCTGTTGGGGAGGGGAAGAGACAACAACAGTGGCACAGAGCACAGAATCACGCACACTTGGGGATTTGGGGACATGGAGGGGCACATACACAACAAACACCACAGTTCAACACAATCACAACCACAAAACTAAGGACTTGAGGAGTTTGAAGCGGCAACGGCACAACAATCCAATCGTGCGACCAAGTGTATGCTGATGACAAACGAAGGCCAGCACAACACCACACACAGCACAACACCGCACCACACCAACAACGCCAGCAAGGTGGCACGGCAGAGCATCACTAGCGAGCGGGTGTGCGCGTACGCGCGTGTGCATGCGCATGTGCTCAGGACATTGCGAGCTGGTGTGCTGCGGCGTAGCGGCCGGTGGCGCAGTGGAAGAGTTGGCGCTCAATGTCGGTGAGGAGAGAGCTGGCACCAATGCGGAACAGGTCTGGCTTTGTCCAGTCGTCACCTGGTGATGGTGGTCATCGTGGTGGTGAAGAGAAATGGAGAAGAGGAATGAGGAGGCGTCATATCAGCAATGTAGTGAGAATGAGGAAAACAAAGATGATGACAATGATGCCGACGACGATCAACGAGTGCGACATCACCATGTGCAATCAATAGCACACACGCACCACCAACAACACCAACAACAACGACCGTACCGAGCTCCTCCTTCATGATTGCGAGCCAGGACACGGCGTCCTTGGCGCTGCGGATACCGCCGGCGGGCTTGAAGCCAACCTACAAACAGGTGGGGGGATGGATACGGGTTGTTTGGTGTGCGTTGATTGTGTGTGTGTGCGTTGATTGTGTGTGTGTGTGTGTGTGCGTTGATTGTGTGTGTGTGTGTGTGTGTGTGCGTTGATTGTGAGTGAGTGAGTGTGTTGGAGGAGATACGCGCACAAACAAGCAAAGACCCCCCCCCTCCAAGCACCAGTTCAAACATCACCACCACCACCACCAGAGGGTGTCACCATGCGATGACCGAGCACAGCGCAGCCAACTGCACCTTGAATCCCGTGCGCTGGTGGTATTCGCGGATTGCGCGGAGCATGGTGAGGGCAACGGGGAACGTGGCGTTGACGCCCTCCTTGCCCGTTGACGTCTGCAGCAAGCGGCGATGTGATGGTGGTGTGAATGGTGACACGATGCAAGCGGCACGTGCACCACAAAGGACAACAACACAAACAGATACACAATGAACAAACGCAACAAACGAACAACACAAACGAACAACACAAACAAGCAAACATTCACGAAGCACAACCCGTCCAAACCATACAAACGCGTGCGGCGGGCGCACACCTTGATGACATCGGCGCCAGCCATCATGCAGATGACGCTGGCGCGGTAGACGTTGTCGAGGGACCCGAGCTCGCCCGTCGCGAGAATCGTCTTCAGATGCGCCTCACCGCACGCCTGGCGCACACGCACACGCGCACGCAGTGGTGGTGATGGTGAGGGTGGTGGTGAGGGTGAAGCAAGTGCGGATGAAGGGCCAGGATAAGACGGGGTGTCAACAATGCAAGCATCACACACACACACACAAGACAGGCACACACACACACACACACACACACACACACACGACACATGCACACACACACACACACATACACATACACACACGTGGTATCGTACCTGCCGCATCGCCTTGACTTCGTCATAGAGCTGCTGCCACTTGGATTGCAGCACATATGGGCGGGTGATGACAATGTCAATCTCTGCAGCAACGTGAGGTTGGGGAAGGTGAGGGCACAAGGATAAAGCGTAAACGAACAAACAACAAACACACACATACACACACAAACCCACACAGACACAGACAGACACAGACACAGACACAGACACACACGGACCGTGAGCGCCGGCAGCGACGGCCTCCTCAATCTCCATGAGCCGGTGCTTCAGCATGGTCTGGCCTGCAGGGAAACCGGCGGCAACAGAGGCGACGGGAATGTTTGTGCCTTCGAGGTGCTTAACAGCTTCGTTGACGCGGTTCGGGTACACGCACACGGCACCGGTGGTGATCTTCTTGTCGGCAACGCCAAGCGTCTCGAGAATGTCGCGACGAATCGGGCGCTTCGCCTTGAAACAGAGCCGCTTCACGTTGGCCTCCGTGTCATCACCAGACAGCGTTGTCAGATCGATGCATGTCACCGCGCGCAGCAGCCATGCCGCCTGCCATTCCATCTGGTGTGGCGTTTCGTGTGTGTGTGTGTGTGCGTGTGTACGTATGTTGTGTGTTTCGTGGGTGTGTGTGTGTTTGTGTTGAGTGTGTGTTTGTGTTGAGTGAGTGAGTGTGTGTGAGTGTGTTGAGTGTGTGAGTGAGTGTGTGTGTGAGTGTTGAGAGAGTGTGTGTGTGTTTAGGCAAGCAAATGTCAGTGCAGCACATCGCATGCACTCACAGCACTGACCACAGTACGCACTGAATCCCTTCCCCCTCCCCCAATTGTTGGCAACACAGCACACGATAACACACCCAACACATTGCCTCATCCAACATTACACTACAACCACAACACACGCTACAACACTACATCCACACCACACGACAACCACAACACCACAAGCAAAACGCACCTTGACGGATCGGCGGACTTTGTGCTGGTCTGCGCGCCGCTTTGTGGCAGCGAGGTTCACGCGTCCCTCAGTGACCCAGCTCAGGTCAAGGGGAATACCGGGGTTGCGTTCGTGCGGCATGGCGGCGGACAGTGTGCACAGAAACAAAAGCGGGGGACGTGAAGGTGGAGGTGAAGTTGAGGAGCGCAGTGTTGGAAGAAAAAAGGCAGCTGCAAAACACGCCACAAAACAACAGGATAAAGAGTAGGTCTGATTTGTGAAGTCAATTTTGCCTTTCATGGCTGCGGACCTTCCGCCACACATTCGAACCCCCTTTCCGTTACAAACAGGCGTGAGAGAGTTGCCGCACAGCGTTGCATTGCATTTTCGCCCTGCCTCCCTGACCACCACCCAACAAGCAAGCGTGTTCCCTTTCTTGATTTGTGTTGACACCACCAATCGAGAGAACCCTGGCTGGCTGGCTGGCTGGCTGACTTCTTGTCAACAGCGCGTTGTAAAACAGGGCCACACAACCCACAGCAGCAACACACGAAACCCACGAACACCACACCATGACTGGCATGAACAACAGCGGGTTTGCCGCCTCCGCAAGAACTGCAATGCCGGCGGCAGCGTCGCCGCGCCAGCAAGAAGGGCCAAGCGTTTCCCGCTTCAATCGGGAGGCCGAAGCTGACGATCGCTTCGCGGGCTTCAGCGTCGCTTTGTACTTGGACCAAGTTGACACGTTGCTCTCCAACCAAGACGAAGACCAACACGCAGCACCACACCTCCAATCGCAACAGCAGCAACAGCAGCAACAACAACAACAACAACAGCAGCAACCACTTTCGATCGTGCGGACAGATTCTGGCGGCCAGCGCGATGTTTCCCGGTCACGCCCACAATGGCAACAACGCAGCACGCGGTTCCTCCAACCTTGGTGCTCTTCCCCCTCTGAGGATGCTGAAGCTGATCGTGATTATGGTGATCATGACAGCGGAACCACGGCAAGGCTCAGGCACAGCTCGAGCACTAAGGGCATCCTCGAGATCAGCGCCACACCGACAAAGCCATCCTATCATGACGATACCGTTGGTCAAGACTTTGTGCAGTGGTTCCAGCGCCACCGCCTCGAGTTTGAACAGGGGCATCACGACAGCGACTGCCAGAGCACCGCCAGCACAACATCATCCACGGCAACCGCATTGACTGTCCACACACGCGGCAGCGACTGCAGCAGCGGCGACGACACTGTTGCTGAACATGATGGTGGTGATGATGATCTGCACGACTGGGATTTCATTCGTCTCCCTGCGGAGACCATTCTGGACATTCTTCGGCACATAAATGGCTCCGATATTGTTCGGCTCTCCTGCACCTCAAAACGGTCAGTGCGGATAACTGTGTGTGTGTGTGTTCTTGTGTGTGTTCTTGTGTGTGTGTTGTGTGTGTTCTTGTGTGTGTGTTGTGTGTGTTCTTGTGTGTGTGTGTGTGTGTGTGCGTGCGTGTGTGGGTATGCGCGTGTGCGGGTATGTATGTGTGTTCTTGCGTGCGTGTGTGTCTGTGTGTGTGTGTGTTGTTAAGGGTGTCTGTGTGTGATAGTTGAGAGCCAACACGCTTTGCAACCGTTTCACTCATCCCAAACCCACCTCCTAATCCCACAACTCACACACACATACACACAGGTGGCGGGCGTTTGTGCTGAAGTACCAGGACGAGATCTTTGAGCGCGCGTGTTTGAAGAAAGGGTGGACGTCGCTCCCGGGCAGCCCGAGCAACGCCAACCCGCGTATCCGCCGCCCCGTTGTCCCGCACACGGCCACGGTCGACTGGCTGTGCATCTTCCGTCGCAACACAGAGGTGGAGCAGCGGTGGCGGCGCGGGCACTTCAACATCGCCGTCCACTCTGCGCGCACCGCCAACGTGCACCTGCCCAAGTTCACTGCAGAAAGCTGGGGCGACATGCTTGACGCGAACTGCTCATCATCGCCGCCATCATCAGCGTCACAAGCGCTGCCGGCACAGCCACCAGCAATGGCCAGAGGTGTGCAGGGTTTGGCGTTGGCAACCCCTGCTGGCGCTGCTGGCGGTTGTTGTGGTGGTGATGAAGATGATGAAGATGATGAACAATGCGATGACGACAGCAACACGCAAGAGAACCGTGCGCCCAGGCAGCATACATCCAACCGCGCAAAACAGACAGCACCGCCATCAACAGCAGCAGCAGCGCGTGCAGTGGGGCAGGTGTCCCGTGTTCCTCTTCGCAGTAGGGAGAACACACGTGGGGGTGATGGCGGTGGATGGAATATGGCGTGGTGGTCAACAGCAGCAGTGCAGGGCGAGGTGGAATTCTGAATGAAGCTTGGTGACGGTGGTGGTGACATTGCTGGTGATGGTGAAACCTAACGGCTTGTTGGGCTCTGTGCTTTCTCTCATCGCAGAGCACGTCCTCTGCTTTCCAAACACACACACACACACACACCACAGTTGATGCCTTCTCATTGTTTTCATGTTATTAATTCCCTCCTTTGAAAGCGTTACGATTCCTGGTTCGTGGTGCGAGTGGCTCTTAATGTTTGTGCGGTTACAATGCCGACTGCTGCTTTCGCTTTCTCAAAAAGACGGCCATCGATGTGTTGAGCGTACGCACGCCTGTGCAATGCATCAGAGTGAGGGCCGCGAAAAACAAGCCAGCCAAGCAGACGGGCATACAGGCTGCGAACCGAAGCAATCGAGCGAGCAACGAGAGAGGTGGGAAGGGTGAGAACGAGCAATGCGGATAACACGTGGAAAACAATAAGAAAATCAAACGAAAGAAAGGCCGCGACAAAACATATGCAAAGAGGTGATGAAGAGGACGGAACAATGCAGGCATGACAGCGATACAATTTGATGCCATGTGCGAGAAGTGACTTTCGATGACGGTGCGTGTGTGTGTGTACGTGTGCGTGCGTGTGTGTGTGTGTGTGCACTGTGCACGTGAGTGCTCATGAGTCTGTGATGATGATCTTGTTTGCGCCTGCAGACGCGAGTTCACGCAAATGCTGCGGCAGCTTCGCAGACGTAGTGAGCTTATTCCTGGCCAACTGTTTGATGCCTGCAAGCACGGATTTCCCCTGCAATTTCACGGTGCAGCGGAAGGGCGCTGGCAGCGCAACGCCGCCCTTGAACGTCGTCTCAAGCTGGTTGGCATCGTGGTGGTGGTAGTGGTGTGTGTGTGTGTGTGTGTGCGTGTGTGTGTGTGTGCGTGAGAGAGTGTGTGAGTGTGTGAGTGAGTGGTGACAAGCAAGGGCAAGTGTTGGCATGAAGGTGACAGGCCAACGTGTCTCGCAGTCCCAACATCAAGACCATGCACAAAGAAAAAGCAACAAACACAGCAAACAAACAAAGCAAACAAAACAAGAAAACACATGGCCTACCTGCAGCTCTGCGCGTTGGAGGGTGGGCGGGTCGAGGAGACCAAAGTCTTCAAACTCCTTCGCGCGAATGTCCTCGAGTGCATCGCGGTCCGCGTGCACAATCCCGCCGCCGTCCAGATCGCGCGTGTCAACCTCTGCATGCATCAGCGCAAGCGTGCGTGCGTGCGTGTGTGTGTGTGTATGTGTGTGTATGTGTGTGTGTGTGTGTGTGCATTTGTGTGTGTGACATTTGCATGCGTATGTGATTCCGCCCATGTACATGCACTGCACCTGTACACAATCCAGCAGCATTGTTTCCAGACACTCGTGCAAGACCAAGAGCATGTGTTGCGCGCATCAGCTGACTTGGTTTCTTCTGCGGACGGCGATTCAGTGGGGAATGGTCGTACAGCCCTGCACGGTACATGGACAAGTGGCCCTGATGTCCGCACATGGAGCGAGGAAGTGACATTGAGGCAGAACGCGTGTAGAAATGCAAGGAGTAGGTGCACACATTTGGGAACTAAGCTGTGCAACGCACACAAACATGCACAAACGCACACAAACATGCACAAACATGCACAAACATGCACAAACATACACAAACACACACACACACACAAACATGTACACGTGCACATACCTGACTGTGTTTGTGGACGAGGAGGTTGAGAAGAGCTGCCGGTTTGGTGCCGGTCAGCTCAATTGGTTGTAACTGCATTGTGGACACACGCGGGCCCACGTGAACATGCGAAGAGCAGAGAAGAGGCAAAGGAGGTGAGGAAGCTGGAAGGGGATCATCAAGGCTGCGTACACATGAACCGAAACGAATGACAGCAATGAAACAAACAAGCAAGCGCCGCAGTCACCACCACCACCACCACCAATGAGAGACTGGCTGCTGCAGACCTTCTTGAAGCCAAATGCGTGGGCCATGCATGCTGTGAAGATGGCGGTGGCTGATTTCGGGATGTTGGTGAACACGAGAAACGGCTGCTCCGGGACATATGCGGCCATGATTGTTGTGGACGACGGGCCAACCCTGCCGGTGATTGTGGCGGTCGTCATCGTCATCATGGGGCAAGGGGGGAGGGGGCAGCGTCAGCGAGAGATGCAAGTGCATGTGGTTGTGCGTGCGTGTAAGTGTGTGTGTGTTTGTGTGTTTGTGTGTGGTTGTGGTTGTGGTTGTGGTTGTGTGTGTGTGTGTGTGTGTGTCTGTGGTTGTGTACATGTGTGATTGCTCACGTGTGTGTGCGTGATTGCAGGACCAACAACCGCAAGCTCAACAAAAGCCTGCTCGCTGCAACTCACTGTTGCTGGCCGAGGTATATTCTGACGACAAAGTGTGACGCCTCGATTTGTTTCGCTGTGACATGCTGTTGTGTGTGTGTGTGGGGGGGGGGGGGGGTGAAGCACCATGTGAGTGTATGTGTGGAAGAAGAATAACAAGGGGAATGTGAGGAATGCCTTAATGTGCACCGCACCCTGCTCTGCGCAGTGTCCAACCCCTCACCAGTGAGCATCATGCAATAGCATCACCTTCCCTCTATACAAGCCCTCCCCCTCTCACGCAAACCATTGTTTCTCAGAGTACTCACGTGTGAGAAGTAGCTGTCCAGCTGCGCAGATGTGTTATCTTCAATGGCTTGTGCCGACAGCATGTCCGACGTGCCTACACCAAACCAAGGGTGAACGGTGATTGTGCATGTCAGCAAATCGTACGTTGCTATTGTGTGTGTATGTGTGTACGTGTGTATGTGCCTGTCTGTCTGTATGTGTGCGTGTCTGTCTGTCTGTCTGTATGTGTGCGTGTCTGTCTGTCTGTCTGCCTGTCTGTCTCTCTGTCTATCTCTCTCTGTCTATCTCCCTCTGTCTGTGCTTCATGGCCCGCGAGTAAAACCTTTCGCTTCAATCTGCAGGGTGTACCTGGGAGCGGGTCCACAGCGCGGAATGCGGTCCATTTTCGCGCGAGTTGTTTGATTTCCAAGGCCAACAAGTCCAGCGTTGCCAGGTGCCCGTGTGATAACCCTCCATACGTCTACAAATGAAAACCCGGGAGCGAGCGCATGGGAAAGCGCATGCGAGTTTGATCAGTGAGCGTATGTGCATCAGCGCATGTCAGGGAGTGCACGCGCAACTCTGTGTGCGCGTACAATGGTTGCCCCAATGCAGACACGGAACACACCAACCCAGATGCGCAAGCACACGTGAAAGGCGCGGGCAAGTAACCTGAAGGATGTAAGTGCAGGCTTGTTGGACAGCCTGCGTCTTGGTTCTGTATGCCTGCACATCCACATCCACGCTGATGGCGCTCAGTGCCTGCGGCAGCTCTGTGCGCGTGAACCGGCTCAGCACTCGCTGAATCTCCAGCGGATCGTCACACGCCGTGCCCCCCAACATGTGTGTGTGTGTGTGTGTGTGTGTGTGTGTGTGTGTGTGTGTGTGTGTGTGTGTGTGTGTGTGTCTGTGTGTGTGTGTGTGTGTGTGTGTGTGTCTGTGTGTGTGTGTGTGTCTGTGTGTGTGTCTGTGTGTGTGTGTGCACGGCGGTGCCCTCTTCTGTTGTTGTTGTTTGCCCTCTCTTGAAACTTTGGCGGCCGCCAACAACGGTTGAGCAAAGGCAAAATTGCCTTCATCCCCAACGTCAATTTTGCATTTTCTCTCCAGAAGAAGCAAAAGCAGAGCAGCGAGATGGTCAGCGTCCTCCTTACGCTTGCTGTGTGTGTGTCTCTCCAATATGAGTGGCAGCTTGCATGATGACTCGCTACTGCATAGCTGTGCGCTTGTTCGTTTGTTTGGCTTCGGTCGTGATGACGCATGTGGGCGCCAGGGCTGGCCGCACTGTCAAAGTGGCCTGTCGTGTTGCCTGCTGCCACGATACACACTCATTCATTCATGCATTCATTCATTCATTCATTTTGTGATCCAACCCCCGCACACTGCCGCTCATGATGATGATGACCTCTGCTGCGACTGTTCCTCTGCAGGAAATGCAAGGGAAAGGAGAGGAGGAGGCGATGACCACTCAGGCGTCAGCGTCCTCTGGATCACCCGTGCTATCCCCTCCACGAGCGAAGGAGACGCGCCTGGACGATACGCCGCCGCCGCTGGCAAGCCTCCAGGATGACACGGGGCTTGGCGGCCTGACGTTCGACGATGGTGATGACGACGACGATGACTATGAGGATGGTGGAGGTGGCGGTGATTTCGGCGACAATGCCGCCCACGGATCGCAGGTGGGAGTGGATGTGGGATCGATGCTGGGAAGTGCCATGTCTGGAGGCGCACCCAACCTGCGCAAGCGCGTGAGCTCTGTCAACGGCCCTGACGAGTTTGCTGATGCTGTTGATGTCTCTCCCAATGCACAGTTCTATCAACACCAGGCCCAACAGCAGCAACAGCAGCGGCAGCGGCACGGCCGGGGTAACCGTGGGCGGGAATCAGACTTTTACATCACGGTTGAGCCCGCATCCACATCGTATGGCACAGATGGCAGCGGCAGCAGCAATCGCTCCTCGGGGCGGTCAGACACACCGTCCTCAGCACATGCCGCGAACGCGGCAGCCGCCGAGGGCAGTGCATATCCGCCGCGAAAGGACCACGAGCGTGTGCCGCTGCTGTCAACGCCAGGCGGCTTGGACTCGGACCCGTCGGTCTCCAAATCCAACACCGCTGGTGGCGATGATGAGCGGCAGGGCTTCTGGCAAACGCTGTACCTCGGCTGCTTGAAGTGCGTACAGCAGGTGGTGGTGGTGGTGGTGGTGATGCTCTGTGTGTCTGTGTGTGTGCTGGATGCGTGTGTGCTGGGTATGTGTGTCTATGTGTGCTGAGTGCCTGCGTATGTGCGCATCTGTGTGTGTGTGTGTGTGTGCTGGATGTGTGTACCTCCGTGTGAGTCCGTGTGTATCTGTGTCTGTGTGAGACTGTGTGTCTGTGCGTCGAATGTACTGGACGTGTGTTGTGCCCACGTTTCATCCTTCCCACAACTGTGCTCCCTCACCTCGCAACACTTCCCCCTGTTCCCCAAACTCTCTCTCCCCCTCTCGACACACTGTGGGCAGGCGTGACCGCAAGGCGCTGTTGTCGCTGCTGCAGTCACTGCTGCTTGTGCTGGTGCTGGTGCTGGCCATTGTCCCGTTTGCCATGATGACGGAGATTGACGAGAGCGGGCACCTGTACACCGTCAGCGACGGCCAGCAAACACGTGCGTTTGGTGCTGCATTGGTGCTGAGGAGCACTGTGATGAGCGTACCTTGCTTCGCCCTGTTTTGTGCACACACATGTGTGCGTGTGAATGAGCGTTTGCCACCTGGCGTTGTGCCCCCATGCGAAATGGCCTCACACACACGCATGTGTTGTTGGTGCCAGTGATTGATTTGTCATCTTCGCGGACCGTGGTCGACGTAGAGTTTAGAAGTAAGCGCACGCAGGGGGGGGGAGGAAGAGGGATGTGCGTGTGTGTGTCTGTGTGTGCCTGTGTCTGTGTGTGTGCGTGCGTGCATGCGTGTGTCTGTGTCTGTGTCTTGTGTGTGTGTCTGTGTGTGTGTGTGTGTGTGACCTGTTGTATGAGGAGGCGTGTACCCGATGCAACTGCTCAACAACATTGATGCCACCCACCCATGCTAACTCCCCTCCCCCCCCCCCCCCAAACTACCAACCACCACCGCTGCACATGCAACTGCTGCCTGCCTCAGCTGTGGCGAATGGCACCGGGAACTTGACCGTGACGATATGGGACGAGGACGGCGTTGCTGACGTGCGTACTGATGGTGCTTGCATCCAGTGACTGCCACGCACGCTGTGTGAACAGTACGCGCCACACGTGTGCACAAGCATCGTGTGTATTGGACACCGTTTGCCTCTCGGCCTCTCGGCCTCACTCACTCATTCACCCACCCACCCACTCACTCACTTACTCACTCACTCACTCGCCTCGCCACAGGACCGAACCGTGATGCTCTCTGAGAGCAACGGGGTGGACAACATTGTGCTTCGGTTTGACCTGGCCGCACGTCCGCACCAGCTCGGGCTTGAAGGCACGGGATCAGGCACCATCCCCGTCCTCCTCTTCCTCCGATACTCCCCAGAACTCATCAAATACGAGGTGTGTGTGTGTGTGTGTGTGTGTGTGTCGTGTTGTGTCGTGTTGTGTGTGTGTGTGTGTGTGCGGGTGTCGTGTTGTGTCGTGTTGTGTGTGTGTGTGTGGCGAGATGCATATGCGCGCCGTTGCAGTCACCTCTGCCCCCGTGCGGTGTGTGCAATGAGCGTTGAGTCAAGTCTGCCACCACCACCACTCACCGCCTCACTGCTTATCTGCGCCAGGTCATATTCGCGGCGGCCATTCTCATCTTTGTGTATGTCCTCATCATCTTTGAGCTCATCCATCGCGCACTCGTGAGTGCCGCTGCACATGCTGATCATGGTGCTTTTGCTTTGTGTGCATGTGGTGGATGTGAGGCACATGTGTACGTGCGGACGTGTCTGCTGCCCGTTCATCGTCGCCACCTTGTGAACCCCTTTGCAAATGGTGCTGCTCCTTCCTGTCCTCACACACACACACACACACACACACACACACACACACACACACACACACACACACACACACACACATCACGGCGCAGGCTGCGATGCTGGGGTCGTTTATCGCGCTGGGCGTGCTGTCTGTTCTTGGCAAGCAGCCGCCACTGGAGGTCATTGTCGGCTGGATCGACTACGAGACAGTCATGCTGCTCTTCGGCATGATGGTCATCGTCGGTATCTTCTCCGACACGGGCGTGTTTGAGTGGGCGGCCGTTAAGGCGTACCGGCTCAGCCGCGGCCACACCTGGCGCCTCCTCACGTACCTGTGCATCATCTCCGCCATTGTGTCTGCGTTTCTGGACAACGTGACGACGATTCTGCTGCTGACGCCCGTCACCATCCGCATCTGCGAGGTGATTGGTCTCGACCCGGTCCCCGTCCTCCTAGCAGAAGTCTTCTTCTCAAACATCGGTGTGTGTGTGTGTGTGTGTGTGTGTGTGTGTGTGTGTGTGTGTGTGTGTGTGTGTGTGTGTGTGTGTGTGTGTGTGTGTGTGTGTGTGTGTGTGTGTGATCATCGTGGCAGTCGTTTGTGGTGTGGGTTGCAAGCGACGAGAAGAGGGGTTGTTGTGGTGTTGTTTTTCCTTGTGTGGAAATGCGTTGTTTTTGCCTCATCTGACCAAGACACACAGACGCCATGCTCAACACATACACACACATATATGCACACACAACACGCGTGCTCTCTCTCTCTCTCTCATTCACTCATCCACCCGCAACCCCCCCCCCCAAAAAAAAAAAAACGCAACCCTGTGCCCCTGGCAGGCGGGACTGCGACGGCTGTCGGCGATCCACCAAACGTCATCATTGTCTCGTCCAACTGGGAGACAGACCGGGAGAAGGACATCCAGTTTGCCGAGTTCACCGGACACATGTTCCTGGGCATCATCTTCGTGTCCGTCGCGTCATTCTTCTGCCTCAAGTTTATGTTTCGCAATGAGCCCCTCGATAACCCAGACCCGCCACGCGTCGCCGAGCTCAAGCGAGAGATTGACATCTGGAAGCGCACGCAGCGAAAACTGCATGTGCGTTTTGCGTGTCTGTATGTGCCTGTGTCTGTGTCTGTGTCTGTGTCTGTGTGTGCGTCTGTATCTGTGTCTGTGTGCGTGTGTTTGCCGAGTTTTGTGGTCTCTACGCGTGGTATTCTCTCTCCTCCCCCCCTCCCCTCACTCATCCCAACAACCACCACTGCCACGACCACGGCGACAGGGCACGGAGGACGAGCGGACAGTGGCGCAGCAGCTGCAGACGAAGATTGAGGAATGCAACCGGGCAATGGAGGATGCGCTTGCAAACGTGCAGCAGACTTGGGAAGAGAAGGTGGCGGAGATGGAACGACAAAGCCCCATAAAGAGCCGTGAACTGCTCTGGAACTCAAGCACCGTCCTTGGGATTGTCATCATCCTCTTCTTTGTCCACTCTGTCCCCTCTGTGCACCTCGGCCTTGGCTGGATCGCAATCCTTGGTACGTCCTGCCTGTGAGCGTGAATATGGTTTTGTATGTGTGTTTGTGTGTTTGTGTGTTGTGTGTGCTTGTTAATTTGTTTGTGTGTTTGTGTTTGTTTGTTTGTTTGTGTGGGTGTGTGGGTGGGTGTGTGGGTGTGTGGGTGTGTGTGGGTATGTGTGGGTGTGTGTGGGTATGTGTGGGTGTGGGTGTGGGTGTGTGCGCCCAGCACACGAAACATATCCACAAATTTGAAACGATGCTGCCCACCAACCACCGCTGCACACCCCATGCATGCTCACACCCATCCTCCACTTGTCCGCGCATGTGCGTGCAGGCGCCATCTGCCTGCTGCTGCTGACGGGCGCACACGATCTGGACGAGCTGCTGGAGCGGATTGAGTGGGGCACGCTCCTCTTCTTCGCGGCGCTCTTCATCCTCATGGAGGTGGCTGCCTCTTTGGATGGCGGTGGTCGTGGTCGTGGTGGTCGTGGTCGTGGTGGTTGTGTGTGGTGGTTGTCGTGGTTGTCGTGGTGGTGGTGGAGAATACAGGTGTTGAAGGAGACGGTGTTGGGTGGGCGACGTGCTCTCATGATCCCATCGCACATGCACGCATACATACATGCATACATACATACATACATACATACATACATACATACATACATACATACATACATGCGTGTGCCCAAACCCTCATTCCTCGCCGCCCCTGTCCCCAAGGCGCTGGCTGAGCTGCGGCTGATTGACTTTATCGGAGAGCAGACGTCGCTGCTGATTGAACAGCTACCGGCCGACTCGCGCCTTGCCGTGTCCATCATCCTCGTCCTCTGGATCTCCGCCCTCGCGTCGTCCTTCATCGACAACATCCCCTTCACCACTGCAATGGTCCGTTGGTCACGTGTGCGCTGTCTGTGGTGGGCGACACCGGCGGCTGCCGCTGCGTTGTTGATTGCGTGTGGCTGCGAGGTTTGCTGGTTTGTTTGGTGTTGCGTGCACGGGACACATGCGCTTTCTTTGCTTTCTGCATCCATCCGTCTTTGTCGTGCTTCATCCATCCACCCTTTCCCCGACGTTCATCTCTCTCCTCTCACCCACGCATTGTGAACCATTCATCACACCACCTACCCCATCACCTCACTCCTACCACCTAACGCATCACCTCACTCCTGCCACCACCTCCTCCACCACTGCCACCTCCCTCCACCCCCTTCCCCCTTCTCTCCCCCCCCCCTTGCTCTCTCGCCGCCTGTTTGTTTCAGATTCCCGTGATCAAGAGCATTGCGGCGGACGAGAAGATTGACCTGCCCCTGCGCCCGCTCGTGTGGGCGCTTGCCTTTGGCGCGTGTCTTGGTGGCAACGGCACCCTCATTGGCGCGTCAGCCAACGTTGTTTGTGCCGGTCTGGCAGAACGGGTGCGTCGTGTGTGTGTGTATGTGTGTGTCTGTGTGTGTGTGTGTGTGTGTGTGTGTGTGTGTGTGTGTGTGTGGGTGGGTGTGTGTGTGGATGTGTGTGTGTGTGGATATGTGTGTGTATGTGTGGGTGTGTGGGTGGGTGTGTGTGTGG